GCTCTGATCTCAGCCTCTCTCTCCCAAGTAGCTTCTGACTCGTCGTGGTGACTCCAGCAAACTTTGACGAGCTCTATATCTCTGTTCCTCAGCCGACGAACCTTTCGATCCAGAACTGCTACCGGTCGCTCATCATACGTCAGGTTCTGCCTGACCTCTAGCTCATCAAAGTTCACTACGTGGCTCGGATCGTACACGTACTTTCTCAACATCGACACATGGAATACGCTGTGTACACCCGAGAGCTCTGGGGGTAACGCCAACTCGTTCGAGAATATCAAATGTCCCTATGAATCGGGGCTGCAGCTTCCCCCTCTTCCCGAATCGTACAACGCCCTTCATCGGCGTGACCTTCAGGAACACCTTGTCTCCCTGCTCAAACTCAAGCTCCCTTCTACGCTTGTTAGTGCAGGCTTTCTGTCGGCTCTGTGCCTCTCCCAGCTTCGCTCGGATCTCGGCAACCTTCTGTACCGTGTCCTCGATCAACTTGGGACCGAGAATCTGTTTCTCGCCGACTTCATCCCCATAAAAGGGTGAGCGACACTTGCAACCGTGTAAAGCTTCGAACGGCGCCATCTTGATCGACGAGTGATAGCTGTTGTTGTAGGCAAACTCCACAGTGGGTAATAACTGCTCCCACGAACCACCACGCTCTAGAACACAAGCTCGAAGCATGTCCTCAAGCGTCTGAATGGTCCGTTCCGACTGTCCGTCGGTCTCTGGGTGATATGCAGAGCTAAAATTCAACTTCATCCCCATGGACTCGTTCAGACTCTCCCAGAAATGGCCAGTGTACCGGGGATCTCGATCTGATATTATCTCGGCAGGAACGCCGTGAAGTCGAACGATTTCCTGGAGGTATGTCTCGGCTAACTGCTCCATGGACATGTCCATTCTGACGGGCATAAAGTGGGACGACTTCGTCAGCTGATCCACTATAACTCATACCGCGTCGTGGTGCTTGGACGACATCGGTAATCCCGTGACAAAATCCATGGTCAGCTTCTCCCACTTCCACTGCGGGATCTCTAAAGGCTGCAAAAGACCCGGTGGAACCTTGTGCTCAGCCTTCACTTGCTGGCAAATCAAACACTTCTCAACAAACTCGACGACGTATCGCTTCATCCCCTTCCACCAAAACGACTTTTTCAAGTCGTGATACATCTTGGTGCTACCGGGGTGCGCTAAGTATGGAGCACTATGCGCCTCTGTCAAGATCTCCTTCTTCAGGGCCTCGACATTCGGCACAACTATTCTTCTCTTGTACTCCAAGGCACCATCTGTGCCTCGGTAAAAACCCTCTACTCCTCCGGCATGGATCTTTGTCCCCATCGAGTGAACAAACTCGTCAAAGGCTTGATCCCGCCGGATTCTGTCTTGGAGCATGGGCCACATTCTCATGGCTCGAATACCTCCCACAACTGGCAACTTAGGAGGTGATTCGACGACCTCTAACTGCATCTGAGCAAACTCTCGAATAAGCTGACGCTGCTGAGTGATCATACAGGTCAGCTCACCCCTTTCCTTACGGCTGAGGGCGTCGGCAACTATGTTCGCCTTTCCCGGATGGTAGTTGATGGTACAGTCATAATCTTTCACCAGCTCCAACCATCGCCTTTGGCGCATGTTGAGCTCCTTCTGAGTAAAGATATTCTGTAAGCTCTTGTGGTCTGTGTAAATCTCGCAATGTCCTCTGTATAAATAGTGTCTCCAAATCTTCAGGGCGTGAACAGCTGCCAACTCAAGGTCGTGAGTCGGGTAGTTCATCTCGTGCGACTTTAGCTGACGGGAAGCATAAGCCACAACCCTTCCGTCATGCATTAGAACACACCCTAGACCTTGCTTCGAGGCATCACTATAGATAGTGAGACCTTTTGTGGGGTCCGGAATAGTTAACATGGGTGCCGTCGTATGCCTCACTTTGAGCTCCTGAAAGCTCGACTCACAACGACTATCCCACTCGAACTTCACCGACTTTTTCGTCAAACGGGACAAGGGTAGGGCAATCTTTGAAAACCCCTCGATGAATCGTCTATAATAGCATGCCAAACCGAGAAAACTCCGAACCTCGGTGGCATTTCTCGTTGTCAACCAGTTCTGAACTGCTTCAATCTTGCTTGGGTCTACCTCAACCCCTCTGGAAGTGACAAAGTGGCCTAGAAAAGCCACTCGATCAAACCAGAATTCGCATTTTGAGAACTTGGCGTACAACTTCTCCTGTCGAAGAGTCTCCAAAATAGTCCTCAAGTGCTCCTCATGCTGTTCTGGACTACGGGAATAGACCAAAATGTCATAAATGAAGACGATGACAAACTGGTCCAGGAATGGATGGAAGACACGGTTCATGAGATCCATGAATACCGCTAGCGCATTGCTCAAGCCAAATGGAATCACAACGAACTTATAATAACCGTATCTCATTCGGAACGCTGTTTTGGCCACGTCGGCCTCTCTGATCTTCAGCTGATGGTAACCAGAGCGGAGATCGACCTTGGAAAATACACTGGCTCCCCTCAGCTGATCGAATGAATTCTCTATCCTGGGAAGCGGATACTTGTTCTTCACTATCAACCGGTTCAGTTCTCGGTAGTTGATGCACATTCTCATAGACCCATCCTTCTTCTTGATAAAGAGAACAGGCGCTCCCCAAGGTGAAACGCTTGGTCGGATGAAACCGAGACTCAAGAGTTCCTGAATCTGAGCCTTCAGCTCCTTCGGCGCAATTCGATACGGCGCTTTCGACACTGGTCCCGCTCCGGGGACTAAGTCGATAGTGAACTCCACTTGGTGGTTGGGTGGTCCTCTCGGAAGCTGATCAGAAAAAACGTCCACAAACTCATGAACAATGGGTATATCTCCGGGAGTCAGCTTTTCCGGATTCTCCCAAACGATGTTGACAAGAAATCCCTGACAATCCTCTCTCTGCAGGTATTTCGTCGCTTTCACCATGGAAACAACGCGCGGTAGAGTTCGGGACTTTGTCCCGAAGAATTTGATGCGGTCTCCCTCGGATAAGTGCAGAGTCACCTCCCGGCTCGCGACAACGGATGTCTGCGTGGTATCTCATCAACCAATCAATGCCAGGAATCAAGTCGAAGTCATTCATATCGATCACAAACGCGTCTACGACTAGAGTTCGGCCTCCGATATCGATGCTAAGGTTCTTGGCCAGGGAACTCGTAACTATCTTCCTTCTCGATGCGAGACTGATCTCGAGAGGGTCGACAATACTCACTCCCTGGGCCCCTAAGGCTGATAAACACTTGGTCGAGACGAACGAATGCGTCGCCCCGGTATCGTATAAAGCGAAGACTGGAGTATGGAACAATGATAACATGCCCGACATAGTACCTGGCTGCTCGGCAGCCTGGTCCTGGTCAAGCGCGTAAATATAGGCGGGTGCTCCACGCTGCTGCTGCTGCTGTCCTGGGGGTCTCTAGGCTGGCTGTCTCGGTGCTGGCTGTCTCTGAGCGGGCTGTCTTTGGGCTGGCTGCTGTCGGGGTCGGTCTGGGCAATCGGCAATCTGATGTTCTGGTCGGCGGCAACTGTAGCAGACGTTCTGCCCGGCTAGGCACTCCCCGCGGTGTGGACGTCCGCAGGTGGCACAAGCCGGCAGATCCTGTCTGGCTGGTGGGCCTGCCTGAGCTGGGTCTCTCTGTCTGCTATCCTTCCTGTTGTTACGGTCATTCCATTTTCTCTTTTTCGGGTTTGGTGCCTGTTGAGAGGTGGCGCCGGATGGGCAGGGTGAATGGCGGTTGGCTATCTGGCTGGCGGCTGGGCAATGGCATCCCGTTGAAGGTACGCCTCAATCTGCTGAGCACGCTCAACAGTCTCAGCATACTCAAGGTAGCCATGGCTGGCCACCAACAGTCGAATGTTGCTCCTCAACCCATCAAGGAATTGGGTCGCCTTCTTCTCCTCCGTGTCCACGAGATGTGGGGCAAAGGCGCTCTTACGAGCGAACTCACGCTCGTACTCATCCATTGATCTCTCACCCTGCTGTAGAGCGAAAAACTTCCCACCATCCTCTATTTGAAATGGCAGAACTTATCCTCCAAAAGCGTTCTATGCTGCGCCCATCTCATGGCCTCACGCTTGTCCTTGGTGCATAAACGCCAATAATCCTCCCACCAGTCTCCCGCGGCGCCCTCGATCTGCAGTTCGGCGCAAGCCATCTTATGCGCCTCGAAAATACCCATAATGCAGAAAATCTGCTCCATCTTGCGGATCCATTCGCCCACGGATAGCGGGCCATCCTCCCCAGAGAAACGGGGCGGGTCATAGGTGCGGAATCGGCTGACCATGACAGCTTGGTCCTGCTCGGCTGCGGCTTGAGGATCTCTGCGTGGCGGCATTCTGGAGATCCAATAGCACTTGAATTGATCAGTATAGCCAATTAAGTAATAGCCATACTAGACTTGAAATAATAAAAATAAATAAAATAAATAAATAATTTCCGAAAACACCTAGCTTGGCTAGAGTTCCGGTATTCTTAAACTTCTATGTTTTGGCTCATACTGGAGTTCTGACTTAGTCTAGAGTCCTTGGACTTAGCTGTTCTAGAGTTCTGTCTAGAGTTCTCTTCTCTAGAGTTATCTGTCTTATAGGAGGATAGTTATCTAGGCCCCATACTTGAACTTAGATCAGCACTTGCAAAACTTAGACTTGGCTTAGGTGACTTACCTCGGAGTCGGCGTGGAGTGAGCGTGGCGTGGTCATACTTTTCTAAAACTTTGAAAGGTATCCAGAACACTAGGTGCTCTGATACCAAGTTGTAACACCCCGCCTTGACTAGCTTAGACTTTTGAAAAATCAGAGTTAATTTTTCGCTTTTATTTTCGAAAATAAACTCACATGATATTTCGAAAATAAAAGCGAAAAATTAACTCTGATTTTTCAAAAGTCTAAGCTAGTCAAGGCGAGGTGTTACACCAACAACAGTTATTGTTCTCCTGCTGTTGTCAGTGGGGCTATTCTTGATGATATATAATTTCGGGTCGATGACATCAAACAAGTATTGGGTAAACGGCCCTCGCAAATTAATCGATCTTGTAATTCATAATCCCAAGATAACAAAGAATAATAGTTATGGGAAAACTTATCACATTGCCATGACAGCCTCAGACGATCCTTACAGCAAATGGCAGAGCCGTATAATGTACTATTGGTTTAAAAAGAAGAAACAACTGTCCATGAAAAATTTCACTAGAATTCTTTGTAATAATATTTTCAATTATTCTATTATTGTGAACCATATAATTAGTTGGACCTAATTAAATTAATAGTCAAACTTAATTAAGGTGAATATATATTTAATAGATTATTAATGTTCTAATATTAAAGAGTCCAATTTGTGATGTTTGATGTTCGCAAAATATTTTTCACTACCCGCAAGTGTACGGTATAGCTATAGTGAGTGGCGAGCAAGGTCGTATTCCACAGAGATTGTTGTTAAAATAATTAAGTATCAAAATGTAAACGATTAAATATTATTTAGTCTATGCAAATTCGAATGGTGATTTTATTCTAAACTAACAAATGATTGCAAAAATAAATTCTAACACTAATGAATGCTTGCTCTAAGATAAGAATGAGAAAATAGATTCTAGGCTATGCTTTCCTCGGGATTATTCTAACAAAGATTTCCTATTCATTTAAACCTTATTTAATTCTACCATTCGTAGGGATAATCACTAAAGTAATTTACACCTTTCTCTCGAACAAGTTAAATCGTAGATATTAATTGTTATCTATCTCCTCTCGGTCTCAAGATGAACAATCAACTCCCATAAGCTCCTAAAATTCTAGTTCCCTCGCAAGATTCTATCAACCTCTCGGTCTGTTTAGTCTCTTACGTTATGAATTTCCCAATTCTAGCAATCAACTATCTCCTCTCGGTCTCAAGTCAATCACAAATATGCATAAATACGGGCCCTTATATTCACACAATTAACAAAAGCACAAGAAATTGATAAACGAATGATAAACCGGAATGAATAAACAAAATCACTTCATAAAATAATCCGAGTACTCGCAAATCCTAGAATCCCTAAAAGGTTTAGCTACTAAACATATTCTCAAAACTCAAAATAAATATATTCATGAGTTCAATGAAGAAGAAAAAGAGAAAAGAAAGAAGAACTATTGTCGCCGTTAGTTCCCGAATCTTCAATCTTGACTTCCTCGAATCCCTCGTGTGTTTCGTGCTTTCTCTAGGCCTCCAATGGTGTCAAAAGTCCCAAAAACGAGTTCTTAAGGTCTGTTTTATACTGTAGGGCTATTCTGGGTCGAAAAAGGGAAGAAATCGCACAAGAATCCTATTCCCCGCTGAACTAGTCTGTGCGTCACACGAGTCGTGTCACATGCCACACGAGTCGTGTGACTTTTCTCAACGTTTCGGCAAACTTTCAGACTCACACAACTGGTCACACGACCGGGTCACACGAGTCGTGTGAGGCCACACGACCCGTGTCTTAACCCACACGACCCGTGTGAAAAAGCCGTAGCTGCGTTTCTTATTTTCTCAACCCACACGACCCGTGTCACTACCCACACGTCGTGTGACCTCTTCTGCACCCGTTTTCGCCGTTTTTCGTCCCGATTCCATTTTCAACGCTTTTCCGGGCATATTTCCTGCAAAACCAATGACAAAAACACCTCTATCATAGATTAATAAATCAAACAAAATGGTGCACAATCACACGATAACCAAGGCCTAATATCACAATATATCACTCATAATGCATGAAAATATGATGAATGTCATTTGACTTGGACAGTAAGTTAGGTTAGAACATGAGGAATGTTAGTAGGAATAGGTTTGTAGGTCTCCTCCTATATATACTACATGCCCCTCTCTCCCATCTCATACGAAATAAAGTTCTCAACATCAAGGGCGTTATGAAAAGACGAGAGACGCGAGAGAGGGAAACAATTCATTGGAAAAGACAAATCCATCATTGAGATTGGAGAAAAAAGATTGTATCAACATTATCGATCAAGAAAACAGGGAAGGACTATAAGCTGGATTCGTGTTAGTTCTATGTGCAATTTAATTTATGCAAAGATCCATGTTCTATGAATTGATAGAATTACATGCTTAGGGTTTATTCAATTCCGCCTAATTGTTATGAATATACCAGTTAAATTTCTTACATGTGGTATCAGAGCATGTGTTTATGCTTAATTATTTTGCCGACTAAAGTTTGTCCTGTTTGTTTAAAATTGATTCTCGTGCCTGCTGGGAATGATTGGCGCAAATAATTGTTTTATTAGCATATGTTGTTAATTATTTGGCAAAGATGGATTAATTGCTGTTCTAAATCGCCGTAAGTGACCAGCAATTAGATTATTGATTCAAATAACTGTATTTGCTGAAAGTGTTCTAAGATGAGTTCTAATTTGCCGTAAGCAGCAATTAGGTTATTGGAATTATTTACAAGTGCCGTAACCATCAAATGGTTGCTGGATAATGGGATTCTTTTTCAATGCATTACTCGAATGAATTAATTCGAATGAATTAAAGTACTCATCTTGGTAAATAAGTTGGCTGAGATTTTAGAATAGATGAGAAATTCAATGTTATTTTTGTTATTTTGTCAAGTTTAATTGCAGAGACTAATAAAAGTTTGAATATCTCATAAAATATAGGACACGTATTCTTGGATGAGAATATGCATGTGAGTGTTTCTTTCTTATGGGTTAATTGTGATATTAATGATGGTGTTAATAATCTCATAAAATATATAATAAAGTTTTTTCTAATTATATTATCTATGTAAGATAACTAGTTAGTCACCAAAGTGGCCTAGTTTAATTTATAGTATAGATAATTAAAATTAGATAAAAGTATCGATTATTCAAATATAAAAGGATGTCTTATTAATGTCTCTCAAATTATATATTTGAATAATTGATGTCATGGATTATAAACCAGGAGGACACCCAAAGGTGGACGATGTGTTAATAGTTATGACAATTAAAAGAGAAATTATAATTAAAGTTAGGTCAATTAGCGTGTTTGTCCAAAGATAACCTCTAATTGATCAAAATTATATAATTTCTATAAAGGAATAATATTTAAAAGAGAAGTTATAATTAAAGTGATGTTAACTAGCGTGTTTGTCCAAAGATATCCACTAGTTGACTCAAGTTTGTATAATTTCTATCAAGGATTAATATATAAAAGAGAAATTATAATTATAATTAGGTTAATTAGTGTGTTTGTCCATAGATAACCACTAATTAATCACATTACCTATAATTTCTATTAAAGATCTTTCGTCTCAGGCATCAATAAAGTATATTATATATTTAAGTATTTGCCCAAAGGTATATTTAAATATATAATTTAAAAGATTTATGAATCCATTAATTGTCTCTCAAAGCTTAACTAAATAGCATGTATTAAAGTTTGCAGCGTTCAAAATTTGGTTATCCGTATAGTATTATAGTTGAAAAATTCAATTGGCTGAACTTCAATGAATGGTCTAAGCATATCCAATTTCAGTTAAGTTCAATGAATTTGGATATGACTCTAATTATTGATGAAGTTCCCACAACCATTACTGATGAGAGCTCCAAAGTAGAGGTAACTCTACGTAGGATATGTGAGCGATCAAATATGTTGTATTTGAATTTGTGAAATTAATCATGGTGGATAACATTAAGGCTGACAATGCAAAAGAATTCCTAAATTAAAAATCAAGGAACTATCTCCATTTAAAGTTACGGAAAAAGTCTATTGTGGGAAGTTTCATAAACGTGCTCTCCACTATAAAAGTTTGACTGATTCTGTTCCATCCATGATTTCGTGACCCACATGTTCAACGTATAAGCAAAACTTATGAATGAATGTGATAGACTCATTTATGGTTTTATTCATCATGAACTCCCTACCTGTCGAGTTTGGCCAATCCTAGGTGAACTATAACACCATTAACGATAAATGGGACTGTATGGAAATTAAGGCTATACTAGTGCAGGAATAGGTGAGAATAAATTAGATGAAAGAAGAGTCGATTCACTTTATATCTCATGTAGGAGCCAATAATAGTAAGATGAAATGGGAAATAAAGGCAAATAAAAGGAGATTGACTTACTTAACGTTTTTACAGGTCCAATCATTAAAGAAATGAGGTATTGTTATTTCTGTAAAAACTTAGGCCACCTTAGAAAAAATTGCCGAAATAAAATCTTGATTCGAAAAGAAAATATACATTAAATTTTCGTATGTTGTGAATCAAATTTATTAAAGATTCCCAATAATACTTGGTGGTTTGATTCTGTGCAACTACTTATGTATCTCATATTCATTTTTGGGTTAAACGTAGTGCACATAATGAATACTATACGCTCTTATGGCATTAAAGATTATGGTCACATATCTGAAAAGTTTTGAGAATGGTGAATAATGAAACTATTTCCCATTTGGATTTTAGTGATCAAGATGTATGTATAAAATGAATTAAAGAAAACCAAACTAGCATACATTAAAGAGATTTGTCAAGAGAAATATAAAAATCTTATAACTTATTCACACTAATTTTTGTGGTCTATTCAACGTCCCTTTGTAGGGTGATGTAAAGTATTTAATTACCATTATAAATGATTTCTCACGTTATGGTTATATTTATCTACTACATGAAATGACTCAATCATTGGACTATCTAAAGATATACGATGATGAGATGAAAAGGTAGTTAGATAAATAAGTAAAAGTTGTGAGATCTCCGAAGATTGGTGAATATTATTGTAAGTTCAATGAAAGAGGATAATGTCCTAGTCCATTTGCAAAGTTTCTTGAGATTTGAAATATTTGTGTGCAATACACTATAATTGAGACTGCTCACCATAATGGTGTTGTTGAGAGGGTAAATCATACTTACAAAGATATGGTTAGGAGTATGTTTAATAATTCAACATTAACGTTTTCTATGTGGATGCATGTGTTAAAGATTGCTGCATATTGGGTAAACCGGGTTCCTAATAAAGTAGTTCCTATTATGAACTATGGAAGGGTGGGAAACCTAGTTTGACACATCTTCATGTTTGGTGGTGTCAAGCAGAAGTAAAAGTATATAATCCACATGAGAAGAAACTTGGTCCTAGGACAGTCAGTGGTTTTTCCATTGGCTATCCGGAAAAGTATAAAGGATATAAGTTCTACTGCCCTAACTATAGCACGAGAATAGTTGATTCATGGAATGCTCGGTTCATTAAAAAATGATCAAATCAGTGGGAGTTTTGAACCGCAAAGTTTGGATGTCAAAGAAGCTCGGGTTGAACAGTCCAAACCCGAGAGTCCATTAATGTTGTCATTCTTCTAATTACAGTACCGTCATGTAACTTAGATGAATAACAAAATGATCCAAACTCACTTGATAATGAATCATCACAAGCAATCAAGAAATTATAGAACAACCTTTGGTTGATGAATTGTGGCATGAAAAGTGTAGATTCTGAAAGTTGATCAATGCCATGAAAGAATAATTAACGTTAAAGGATGACAATAAAGTTTAGGATTAAGTAGAATTACCTGAATGGTCTAAAAGAGTTGGATTAAATGGGTTTCCAAAAAACCAACGCAACTCAAAAGGTAATATCGAAAGATATAAAGTTAAACTTTTTGGTAAATGTTACACCCTTAAGGAAGGCATTGAATACAAGGAAACACTCTCTCGTTTTGAGAAAGATTACTTCAGAATTGTAATGGTAATGGTGGCTCTGTATGATTTTGAGCTTTATCAAATGGACATAAAGATCACCTTCGAAATGATAAACTTAGAAGGAAATCTACATGAACTAATTAAAAGTTTTTAGATCACAAGAAATGAAAAGTTAGTCAGTAAGTTGAATGGGTCAATATATGGACTAAAACAAGTCTCTTTGTCAATGGTATCTTAAGTGTAATGATATCATCACTGCTTATGTTTTGTAGAGAATACCGTAGATCGGTGTATCTACATTAAGGTCGGTGGGAGTACAGTTGTTATTTTAGTTCCGTATGTCGATGACATTTTTATAGTTGCTAATAATGTGGACATATTGCACGAAGTAAAGTATTATCTCTCTAAAAAGTTATGAAATAAAGGATGTGGATGAAACGTCCTTGCTAATTGGAATAGAAATATTCTGGAATAGATCACAAGGACTAAAAGTTTATACCATAAAAGTTTTATTTGAGAGATAATTATGGTTGTTCCGTATAATTCCAATTCATAAAAGGGACACATTTAGTCTAAAATAAATGTTCGAAAGGTGAAATGGAATGAAAAGTGATGGAGGAAATTCATTAGATATAAATGATTAGGAGTCTTAAGCGAGACGAACTTGTACTAGGTTTGATAATATAGTTGGTACGTTAAACAAATATAAAAATAATTTTAAATGATTATGTAAAAGTGGAACAAAGTCCATCATCGTGACTTCCACAATTAAGTTTGAGTTTGTGGTATGCTTTGAGGCCACAAGTCAAAATTTAGGGCTACGATGCTTTATCTTAGGACTTGGAAATGTCGACATCTTGTCCAAGACGCTAAGAAATTAATGTAGCATTGTAGCAATAATATTTCAAGGTATGACAAGTATTCAAATGGTGTGAATCACATAAAATTGAAATACTTGGTCGTAAAATATAAGTGAAGAAACAAAGTGTGTCATTTGAGCATTTTAGTACTAATTGCATGAAAGCGAATCCACTAAAGGGTTATTCCCTATAGCCTTTGCAAGGCATATAAAGAAAAGTTGGAATAACGAATGGGGCCTTATTGGACTGACTGATACTGAATGAAATTTCTTAATTATTGATTTTGGTTCTTATTGAATTCAATTAAAGATGTTTGATTCTTCACACTTAATACCATCATTATGGATATTTGATTTTATAGTATATACATAAAAGTTGGATGGCTTATGGTTATGGTACGAATAGTTTGTTCCATATTAAAGTAAGGTTGAATTAGAAATGATTTGTGGTACATGGAAGGGATCATGTCGCTCGAAGACTTGTGACCGCCATGACTCAGTTAATTTCTATTTTAATTTTAAACTTATAGATATATGTATTCAATCATAAGTTTGATGAAAGGTGTGCGCTTAAAGTAGTTGTTTGAGTTTCGACAGTATATGGTCCAAGTGGGAGAATGTAATAATATTTTATATTATTCTATTATTGTGGACCATATAATTAGTTGGACCTAATTGAATTAATAGTCAAACTTAATTAAGGTGAATATGTATTCAATGGCTTATTAATGTTCTAATAATAAAGAGTCCAATTTGTGATGTTTGACTTGGACAATAAGATAGGTTAGAACATGGGGAATGCTAGTAGGAATAGGTTTGTAGGTCTCCTCCTATATATACTACGTGCCCCTCTCTCCCATCTCATACGAATAAAGTTCTCAACATCATGGGCTTTATGAAAAGACGAGAGACGCGGGAGAGAGAAACAATTCATAGGAAAAGACCAATCCATCATTGAGATTGAAGAAAAAAGATCGTATCAATATTGTAGATCTAGAAAACAGGGAAGGACTATAAGCTGGATTCGTGTAAGTTCTATGTGCAATTTAATTTATGCAAAGATCCATGTTCTATGAATTGATAAAATTACATGCTTAGGGTTTATTCAATTCCGCCTAATTGTTATGAATATACCCGTTAAATTTCTTACATTCTTCATTCGGGAAAGCCCGATAACCTCATGGACGAGATACCCACATTCGTTGTTGATCCTCTTCCTACAGGTTATGATATGGTAAGTAAAGTAAGTAAGTAAGTAGCTAAGTCTGCTAACATGATGTTTTGTGATTTTTGAAACTAATTTAAATGAAATGTTATTTATATAGGGTTATGTTGTCTTAAACAGGCCTTGGGCCTTCGTTCAGTGGCTGAAGTTGTCCAAAATTGAAGAAGAGTAAGCTTTTTTGTTTTCTCTCAATATCAGTTCTTGTATGTGTTTGAAAGACCTGATTAGCATTGGTTCTGTAGTTATATATTGATGGCTGAACCCGACCACATATTTCTAAAGCCGCTGCCTAATTTGGCCTATGAAGACTATCCTGCCAGATACCCGTTTTTCTACATCAAGCCTGACCAGCATGCAAATCTCATTCGGAAGTTCTATCCGGAGGAGATGGGCCCGCTAACAAACATTGATCCTATTGGAAATTCTCCAGTTATAATTAAAAAGGTCTTCATTGATGTGTGCTTTAGATGATGTTCATGATTTATTTATGTTGAGAAACGATGACTATACGAATTAAAGACNGATGACAATACGAATTAAAGACGAGAAAAAAAAAAAACAACACAAGATTTACGTGGTTCGGCAATATGCCTACGTCCACGGCGGAGCAATCTTTTTATTATTCTCAATAATATCCAAATACATCAATACACCATGTATTTATATTATAACCCTACTAGGTATAAATTTACTTAAATACCCCGTACTGTACCACTCACTCCGCTCGGACGCTCCGCTTCCCTCGCTCACTCGGACGCTCCGCTACCTCGCTAAGCTCGCTCCACTCACAGGCATCAGCCTGCCTCCTTCCTTTGTAAATATATGAGCCATATCAACAAATCTCCACCTTGGCGTATATATCACCTCCTTAGGAGAACACGATAGCGAGCAACTCTGCGAGACATACCAAGCAGGCCGGGGATACCATGCAACTCTAGCATGCAGAAACATTCAACAAATCCAAGCAATGCTTGAATTTGTCAAAAGTAACAGTATTAGTCAACATATCAGCAGCATTCTCTTCAGTATGAACTTTCTCCAACTGAATATCTCCAGAAGCAATCCATTCTCTAATCTTGTGGAACCTCACATCATTATGCTTCGTCCTAGCATGATATATTTGGTTCTTAGCCAAATGAATAGCACTCTGACTGTCACAATCCAATAGAACTCCACCTTGCTGAATACCCAACTCTCTAACCAATCCAGCAAGCCACACTGCTTCCTTTGCCGCTTCAGCCAAAGCAATATACTCAGCTTCAGTTGTAGAGAGAGCAACTATAGGCTGAGTATTCGACCTCCAACAAATAGGCCCTCCACCAAAAATGAAGACATGCCCAGTGGTAGATCTCCTATTATCCAAGTCCCCAGCATAATCAGAATCCACATATCCTTCAACCAAAGGATCCAACCGCTGATCTCCAAACACAATACCATGTCCCGTAGTACATTTCAAATATCTGAATATCCATTTGACTGCCTCCCAATGCTGTTTACCCGGCCTAGACATATATTTGCAAACTTGACCAACAGCATGAGCTAAATCAGGACGAGTACATACCATGGCATACATCAGACATCCAACAGCATTGGCATAAGGTATCTCCACCATATCCTGAGTCTCCTTGTCCGACTTGGGGCACTGATCGACAGAAAGCTTGAAGTGGTTTGCTAATGGAATGCCCACCGGTTTTGCTTCATTCATCCCAAACCTCTGTAGCACCTTCTTCACATAACCCTTTTGAGATAACCACAGCTTCTTTGATCCTCTATCCCTGTGAATCTCCATCCCAAGAATCTTCTTCGCAGCCCCCAAATCCTTCATTTCAAATTCCTGACTCAAACCGTATATTCCATAGTTGGGATTTGCATTTGGAGCAGATGGATGTGAAGACTGCCTTCTTGCATGGTGATCTCGCAGAGCCTATTTACATGCAGCAGCCAGAGGGTTTCGTTCAACCAGGAAAGAAGCATTTATTTTGCAGGTTGAAGAAATCCTTGTATGGCTTGAAGCAAGCATCGCGACAGTGGAATATACGGTTTGATTCGTATATGATGAAGATTGGCTACAACCGTTGTGAGTTTGATTGCTGTGTTTACACTAAGAGCCTTGATGACGGATCTATTATTTTTCTGTTACTTTATGTTGATGACATGCTTATTGCTGCGAAGAATATGCGTGATATTGTTGATCTGAAGAGCCTTTTGAGTCAGGAATTTGAAATGAAGGATTTTGGGGCTGCGAAGAAGATTCTTGGGATGGAGATTCACAGGGATAGAGGATCAAAGAAGCTGTGGTTATCTCAAAAGGGTTATGTGGAGAAGGTGCTACAGAGGTTTGGGATGAATGAAGCAAAATCGGTGGGCACTCCATTAGCAAACCACTTCAAGCTTTCTGTTGATCAGTGCCCCAAGTCGGACAAGGAGACTCAGGATATGGTGGAGATACCTTATGCCAGTGCTGTTGGATGTCTGATGTATGCCATGGTATGTACTCGTCCTGATTTAGCTCATGCTGTTGGTCAAGTTTGCAAATATATGTCTAACCACAGGAGAAAATGTCTCATCATAGTCAATCCCCTTTTGCTGTGAGTATCCTTTGGCCACCAATCGAGCCTTGAACCTTTCCCCTCCTTTTTCTGTTACCGATGACTTCCTTGTGTAAATCCACCTGCAACCAATGGCTTTCTTCCCTTTTGGAAGAACATCCAACTCCCATGTCTGATTCTTATGCACAGAATTCATCTCTTCTTCCATGGCAGCCTTCCATCTATCACTATTTTCACATGAAACAACCTCCTGGAAAGTATCAGGATCCACACTAGTGATCGTAAGAGCAAATGCCACCATATCCTCATAACCAAACCTGACTGGAGCTTGTATATTGGTACGCCTCACTCTATCCCGAGCTAGCTTGTAGCTCTCTGACACATCAGTTGTGCCAGAAACATCATGATCAACATCATCAGGTGCAGAAGTCGAACTCTCTCCCTTATCAAGAACTGCTGGAATATGTTCCAACTCCACCTGTACCTTTTCTGCATTTGATCCCAACATAGACTGTTCATCAAACACTGCATCTCTACTAATCAACGTCTTCTTCCCAACTGGATCCCAAAACTTGTATCCCTTCACACCTTTCTTATAGCCCAGAAAAATGCACTTCTTTGATTTAGCATCAAGTTTTGACCTCTCATCAGCAGGAACATGAACATAAGCAGGACAACCAAAAATCTTCAGATGATCAAAACTAACATCATTACCTGTCCATACTTCTTCTGCAACTTTGCCATCCAGAGATGCACGTGGTGATCTGTTAATCAAATAACAAGCCATACTTACAGCCTCAGCCCAGAAACTCTTCGACAATCCCGCATTCAGTCTTAAACGCCTTACCCTCTCAGTCAGTGTCCGATTCATCCTCTCAGCAACACCATTCTGTTGTGGTGTTTTACGCACCGTAAAATGCCTCTGAATCCCATGCACCTCACAAAACTTCTGGAACTGTGATGTATTCTGTACCATTATCAGACCTTAAGTACTTGATCTTCCTACCAGTCTGGTTCTCCACCTCAGCCTTCCATAGCTTGAATTTAGCAAAAACTTCAGATTTCTGCTTCATGAAATACACCCAAACCTTCTTCGAAAAATCATCAATAAAGGTCACATAGTACACAGAACCACCCATCGATGTCACTTTAGTAGGACCCCACACATCTGAATGTACATAATCCAGAATTCCTTTTGTCTTCTTCTTGCCAGTCTTGAAACTGATTTTTGTCTGTTTTCCCAGAACACAAAACTTACAGAAATTCAGTTTGCAAGTTTTAACACCATGCAGAAGCCCCCTCTTATGCAGTTCAGTCATGCCATGTTCACTAAGATGTCCAAGTCGCATGTGCCACAGTTTCGTGCTATCTTCACACGACTCCACCGAATGAACTCCACCTACAACTGTACTTCCCAACAGTTTGTAAATGTTCCCTGCAGTGATCCTCCCCTTCATCACAGTCAAAGCACCCTTCACAATCTTAATGGTTTCCCTATCCTCATCAGCCTTGGGAATGAAACCATTTCTATGCAAAGTGCCCAAAGAAATCAAATTCTTCTTCAACTCAGGGATATGTCTCACATCACATAATGTCCTAACAGTTCCATCATACATCTAGATTTTGACATCCCCAATACCGACAATACCGCAGCATCTATCATCACCAAGAAAAATAGAACCCGAGTTACCAGGTTTATAAGTAGCAAACCACTCTCTGTTAGGCGTTATATGATATGAACATCCAGAATCGAGAATCCAAGCATCATCATACTGTGTAGTCGAAATAGATAACATATCTCCATCACTGCAATTGGATTCCTCATTTTGTACCACATTCGCAGACTTAGTTGACACATCAACAGTCTGTTTCTTCCAGTTTGGGCAATTACGTTTGAAGTGCCCTTTTTCCTTGCACTTATAACACGTCACAGTTTTCCTCCCCTGCGATTTGTCTCGCGACTTAGATCTGAAATTCTGATTTCCTGAAGTATCCCGCACCTGTCTTCTTCCACGATCCTGGTTACCCTTCACATATAAGCTGTCACTTTGAGTGGATGACTCTCTAGATTTCTGTTTCCGCTGGTTGTGAGCCAACAACGCTGAAGTAATCTCCTCAGTCTTGATCGTTTCTTTCCCATACGTAAGGGTAGTCACCATATGTTCGTAAGAAGAAGGTAACGAACACAGTAAAATCATCGCTTTGTCTTCATCTTCAATCTTGACTTTGAATGAAGCCAAATCCGTGATAACCTGATTGAAGATATTCACATGTTACCCTAAATCGGTCCCCTCCTGCATCTTCAGCCCGTATAACCTCTGCTTCAGATACAATTTTGACGTTAGGGTTTTCGACATAAACTGCGATTTCAGTTTCTTCCAGATCTCATCCGCCGATTTGAGATGCATAACGTGATACATAACTTCATCTGCAAGGCACAGCCGAATCGTCCCGACCGCTCGTTCTTGCAGATCTTGCCAATCATCGTCTTCCATCCCCTTTGGCTTCTCTGTACGCAGCCCTTTCTGAATTCCTTGCTGCGCCAATAAATCTTTTACTCTCGTCTGCCATAATCCGAAATTGCCATGACCATCAAATTTTGAAACCTCGAATTTCGATCCTCCCGTCATTTCTATCGCCCAATCAACCTGGTGCTCTTGATACCAATTGTTGAGAAACGATGACAATACGAATTAAAGACGAGAAAAAAAAAAAACAACACAAGATTTACGTGGTTCGGCAATATGCCTACGTCCACGGCGGAGCAATCTTTTTATTATTCTCAATAATATCCAAATACATTAATACACCATGTATTTATATTATAACCCTACTAGGTATAAATTTACTTAAATACCCCGTACCGTACCACTCACTCCGCTCGGACGCTCCGCTTCCCTCGCTCACTCGGACGCTCCGCTCCCTCGCTAAGCTCGCTCCACTCGCAGGCATCAGCCTGCCTCCTTCCTTTGTCAATATATGAGCGATATCAACAATTTATTTATTTTATGTTTGGCGTATCAATCGATTTGTAATGTTTCTCAGGATTTGCTCAAGATAATTGCACCTACATGGATGAACGTCTCCATAAAAATGAAAATAAATGAGGAGACGGGCAAAGCTTTTGGATGGGTCTTGGAAATGTGAGCACACTCTGAGAAGCATTCACTATATGGAACTTTTTATTTCATAAAATTGTTGATTGTATTTCTTAAGGTCATGTTTTCTCAATAACTGAAAAAAAAAGGTATGCATATGCTGTTGCCTCTGCTCTGCATGGTGTGTGATAAATTAATATCCAATCAGCATTTGCCTCGTCAGCATGACCAATGCACCTCCTCCTTGCATGAAGACAAACAGCATGCAGCAGCTCGTGAGGATTTTAGTACAGAAGGTACAAAGGCCAGCTGCAATGGTATAACGGCTCTCTCACTCCAGTCTCCATCCATGCAGCCACGTGGACGGCTCAGATTAACCACAGCTAATGAAGAGAAGAAGGATCCAGATCCTTAGCCGTCATCTAGGTTTCATTCTTAGTGAATATATATATGTGTGTAATGATTGCCCCAATGATATATCAATGATATGAAAAGAAAACAGAGCAGAAAAAGTTCATAAGTAACACATTTTTGATGAGCTCGTTTTTCATTTTTATCACAAATTCTCACATGGTATCAGAGCATGGTTAAGGCCATGTCTCTGGTATCCTCTTCCCTCTTCCCTTACCTCACCTTTTCATCTTGAACCTTTTCTACCATGACAGAGTCCCATCAATCTTTTGTTTCAGGAGCTAATCCAAACCCTTCAACACCTAGCCTTGTCTTCCCTCAAAGCCAGCTCATTTCAACCAAACTGGACCAAAACAACTATCTCATATGGAGGCAGCAGATCCTCACCACCATTAAAGGATACGGCCTAGAGTCCTTTATCAGTTCACAGACTGCTGCTCCACCAAAATTCTTGGAAGGAGAAATCTCCATAAATCCAGATTTCACCTCATGGGAAAGGCAAGATTCTCTTCTTGCTTCATGGATGCTGTGCTCACTTTCAGAAGGGATCCTTGTCCTTATGGTTGGGTTAAACAGCTCCAGAGACATTTGGGATGCCTTGGAAAGAAACTTTGCTAGCCAATCAAAGGCTAAGATCATGCAGTACAAAATGCAGCTGCAAAATCTCAAAAAGGGAAGTCTTTCTATGACTGAGTATTTGAGGAAGATAAAATCCATGTTTGACATGTTGGCCTCAGCAAATGAGCACATCTCTGAAAGCAACAAGATCATGCATGTTCTTGGAGGTTTAGGATCAGAATATGACTCGGTTGTTGTCACTGTGACTTCAAGACCTGAAGCCTTCTCCATGATAGATCTGCAAGCCCTGCTGTTGAGTTATGAATCAAGGCTAGAGTCTTACAATCCCAGCAATGTGAGCCTTGATGGATCTCAACCTTCCTTGAACACAGTCTCTCAGCAGAACCACAACCAAAGGAAAGGCTTTCCTAACAACTTCAACCAAACAGACAACAGGAGTAGAGGAGGTTACAATAACTTTAGAGGAAGAGGCTCAAGGGGAAACTTCAGAGGCAGAAATGGCCGAGGTGGTCAACAAATCAGTTGTTAAATTTGCCAAAAGCCTGGTCATGGTGCAAACAAATGCTGGTACAGATTTGATTCCAACTATGCACCACAGAACAACCAAAATGCCCAAACCAACAAACCACCAAATCTTAATGTTGCTCAAGTGGGAGGATATCCTGCTTCTGAAATTGATCAAGAGAATACCTTATGGTTTCCAGACTCTGGTGCAAGCAATCATATCACAAATGACTTTGGAAATTTCAGCACCTCCAATGACTACTCAGGACCACACAAACTTCAGCTAGGTAATGGAACAGGTATAAACATTTTGCATAATGGTAACTCCTTTTTAAAATCACCATTACAGTCAAGAGTCTTTGTCTTAAATAACCTACTTCATGTTCCAAATATTACAAAGAACCTTTTAAGTGTGTCTCAATTTGCCTTGGACAACAAAGTGATTTTTGAATTCCATTCTGATTCTTGTTTTGTTAAGGATCAAGTATCTCAGGAAGTTCTTCTCAAAGGGAGAGTTAAGGATGGTCTTTATCAGTTCAATCTCAGGAATTTCAAGCCATCAGTATCCACTTCTCATGATGGTTCAGTTTATGTTAAGAAACCTGCTGCTGTTAGTTTCAGTGTGAATAAGGCTTGTGAGCTAGAATTATGGCATCAAAGATTAGGGCATGTCAATTATGATGTTGTTAAGAGAGCCCTTGAGCATTGTAATGTTCCTTTTATTTTTAATGAAAATCAGTTTATGCAATGCTTGTATGTTGAGTAAAAGCCACAGATTGCCTTATGAATCTTCTACCTCTTACACTTCCAAACCTTTGGAGCTTGTGCATACTGATTTATGGGGTCCTGCACCCATAAAATCCAGAAATGGCTTTTCTTACTATCTCAGTCTAATTGACCATCACACAAGGTTCACTTGGATATATTTGTTAAAACAAAAATCTGATACATACCAAGCCTTTGTGCACTTCAAAACCCTGGTTGAAAACCAACTTCAGCTTAAGATCAAAACTGTTCAAAATGATTGGGGGGGTGAATATAGAAGTTTGTCTAAATTTTTGAGGATAATGGTATTCACCATAGAGTGTCATGTCCATACACCCCTCAACAGAATGGTCTAGCTGAGAGAAAGCATAGACATATAGTAGAGGTTGGTCTGTCCATGTTGGGCCACTCATCTATGCCTCTTAGTTTCTGGGATGATGCTTTTACCAGTGCTGTTTACACCATAAACCGTGTGCCAACAAAACTTCTTAACCATGCTATTCCTCTTGAGAAACTGTTCAACCATAAACCGAACTATAAGAGCCTAAAAGTTTTTGGCTGCCTTTGCTACCCTTGTTTGAGACCCTATAATAAACACAAATTGGAGTACAGATCTCAACAAGGAATTTTCATAGGATATAGCAATGCTCACAAGGGGTATAAAGTTCTTTTGCCAAAGGGAAAGGTGATCATAACCAGAGATATTCTATTCAATGAGAGTGTTTTTCCTTTTGCTCAAAGGGATAAAGTTCAATCAGATTATGGTGTCACTGATCCTACCAGACTGTCCTTTCCTACTGTACCACCTTTAATCCCTCAAAACACAACCCCTCAAACACCAAGAACCATTAACCAAGCTCCAGAAAATACTTTACCCTCAACACATCAAAGCCCTCTACAACACACTCCAGACTCATCTCATTCTACCTTTAGTACAGTTCCTTTGGTGGTTGAGTTACCTTTTATGCAAAATGTTTCTCCTGCTTCTGTTACTAATCCTATCTTGCAGGATTGTCATGATGAGAATAGTCAAGTGAATGAAAGCCAAAACACAACTCAGGTTCAAAATGTTCATCCTATGGTGACCAGAAGAAAGGCAGGAATTCACAAACCTAAAGCTTATGTGGTGACTTCACAAGATGAACTGGAGCCTATGCATTTCCATCAAGCAGTTAAACTTCAATCCTGGAGACAAGCAATGACTGAGGAATATGAAGCATTACTATCTAACAAGACTTGGAGCTTAGTGCAGCTTCCTGAAGGAAAGAACCTTGTGGGGTGCAAATGGGTATACAAGTTAAAAAGAAACTCAGATGGATCAGTCTCTAGACATAAAGCAAGGTTGGTTGCTCAAGGTTTTTCCCAATATGCAGGATTGGACTATAAGGAAACTTTCAGCCCTGTTGTTAAGGCAACTACTATAAGGTTGATCTTATCATTGGCTGTTCACAGTTCCTGGAGAATTAGGCAGTTGGATGTTAGTAATGCATTTCTTCATGGAGTGTTAGAAGAAGAGATATATATGAGACAACCACTGGGGTTTGAAGTCAAAGGCAAAGAAGACTTGGTGTGTAAGCTGAAGAAGGCTCTTTATGGTTTAAAACAGGCATCAAGGGCCTGGTTCAAAAAGGTGCAGCATGTTTTAGTGAACCTTGGCTTTGTTACCTCTCAGGCTGATAATTCTCTCTTCTACATGAAAAAGAATCAGGATGTCATTTACCTTCTTATCTATGTTGATGACATCTTGATTACAGGAAATAATGAAACTCTTATTTCATCAGTTGTCTCTCAGCTCCAGAAGGCTTTTTCTATAAAGGACTTAGGAGATCTTCATCATTTTCTTGGTATTCAAGTGACTCAGACTGATGATGGTTTGTTTCTCAGCCAAGGAAGTTACATTAAACAGCTTTTGGAAAGAGCAAAGATGAAAAACTGCAAGGGATCACTTACTCCTGTGATTACAGGAATGAAGTTATCAAAATCTGATGGTGACCCTTTGGAAGATGTGACTTTTTATAGAAGCCTGGTGGGAGGTCTTCAGTATGCGACCATAACAAGGCCAGAACTTGCTTATAGTGTGAATAGAGTGTCTCAGTTCATGTCTAACCCTCTTCACACTCACCTCAAAGCAGTTAGAAGAATCTTAAAGTATCTTGCAGGAAGTGTCAACCATGGGATTCACATAAAGAAAACAAAAGACCTTTCCTTGATGGCCTTTTCAGATGCAGATTGGGCCAGTGACATAGATGACAGGAGATCTGTAACAGGCTTTTGTGTATACTTGGGAGATAATCTTGTGTCTTGGACATCAAAGAAGCAAGCTTGTATTTCAAGGTCCAGTACTGAAGCTGAGTACAGGAGTTTAGCTCATTGCACTACAGAATTGATTTGGATGCAATCATTACTAAAAGAGTTAGGAGTTCAAGTCAAAGGTACTCCTGTTGTTTGGGTTGACAATCAGAGTACTATATCCTTAGCAAATAATCCTGTTATGCATGCGAGAACAAAACATGTGGAGCTTGACATCCATTTCATTAGAGAGAAGGTTTCACAAGGAAAGATCAGTGTTCATCATGTTCCTACCTATGAACAAGTTGCAGACATCTTTACAAAGGCCTTGAGTTTCCAATTCTTCACCAAGCTTAAGAAGAGACTTACAGTGAGTTCCTTACCTTGGCTCGAATTGAGGGGGTGTGATAAATTAATATCCAATCAGCATTTGCCTCGTCAGCATGACCAATGCACCTCCTCCTTGCATGAAGACAAACAACATGCAGCAGCTCGTGAGGATTTTAGTATAGAAGGTACAAAGGCCAGCTGCAATGGTATAACGGCTCTCTCACTCCAGTCTCCATCCATGCAGCCACGTGGACGGCTCAGATTAACCACAGCTAATGAAGAGAAGAAGGATCCAGATCCTTAGCCGTCATCTAGGTTTCATTCTTAGTGAATATATATATATGTGTGTATTGATTGCCCCAATGATATATCAATGATATGAAAAGAAAACAGAGCAGAAAAAGTTCATGAGTAACACATTTTTGATGAGCTCGTTTTTCATTTTTATCACAAATTCTCACAGTGTGCAACATATTTTGAGGAAAGATTTCCAATTGCAGGTTCTTTTTCTCAACCAGAACTATACCCTATGTCCTGTTAATCACATTTTCATTTTCTCATTAGCATTAGAAGCTTGAGTATATTTTCTATTGTTTGGCATTTTTTGTATCTCATTACAGCCCCCTTGGGATTTGGAAACTGCGAATTTCTACATTCTTCACTACACTTATCCTCTTGATTACAACTATAAGGTAAATGTTTCTCA